AATTTTAAAATGGCTGAATTTATTAATATGATATATGCATTTGATGTAGAATTTAACGCTGGTTATTATAATAGACCAAAAATATATAAGTTTTAATTTCCCGATTTTTTCCGATTTTGGCTTATTTTGGGAAAATTCCCGAAAAGTCTATTTTTATGACAAATAATCCCGAATTTAGATATTTTTCGACGAAAATTATTTATTTAATAACTATAATATTTCACCAAAACTCTTAATATTGTTCTAAACTGAATATAACTTAAATCAAAACATGTTTTGTAATCCACAACATGTCTTACAAAATATATATTGATTATCTCCGTCGAAGTCTAGCGTTCTTTCTCTCAGTTTAAGATTATTCTTAGAAATATAAGACTGAAATAAGCTCAAATTTCATGTCATTATTAAATATAATTCATTTCTAAATGATTTATATGTATAATGATTGTGTTATAATTGAGTAAAATCGAATTTCCCGAATTTTCCCAATTTTGGCCTTTTAATTCCCGAATTTGGATGTTTTTATTCCCGGAAAATGGAGGCTTTAGTTATAACACTCGGCTAATGTATAGACATGCTTTAACATGGGTAATGTTAATTCTATGGCATAGGGATGAAATGGGAAATGCTTAGCCTATAACAATGCTAACTCAGTGGGTGAATGTTCTTTGGATGAATGTTAAGTATAGGGACAATGCTAAATTTATAAGGAATGCTAACGTATTGCATCCCTGTGTCATCTTTGTTTATAATTTTATTTTAAGTTTATTTTAACTACAATTCAGCATTTAAATTAGATTGGAATACAATGATTCATATTTTTAGATACTTCAATAAATGTTGATAATGTAAGTTCAAAAAAGTATCCTAAAATGTAAATTCAAACACAAAATATAGTTAATTGAAATATCTAATTTTTAACGTTTTTATGACTAAACCTCGTTATTTCTGTAGCCGTGATAGTTATCATGGTAAATTATATATGGAATTAAATTAACATTATCTGAGTTCAGTTCTATAAAAACAAATTTCAAATCAAATCACCTAGTCTAAAGTTTTTCAAACTTAAGATAGTTACCGTGTCAACTGTATATGTGTGAATTCAAACTAGTGTCACTTTAAAGGTACCGGAGTAATCGCAAATGTCCGACGGCCATTTTTTAAAACCCATTATACATATTTTTAATTTAAATATAAGTGCATTGGGACTGATATTTTGGATACTTCAGATTTTTGTTAATAAAGTAAAGTGATATAAAATGATAATTCTATGCATAAATGTATCTAAAAATAGTGGTTATTAATTCTTAAAACTTAAATTATAATTATAAACGTTATAAATAAACTGGGATTGTAATCTCCCAGCAGTTTGTGTATAAACTGAGATATTATTAATAACTGGATAATATCCCATGCTTTAGTGTGTTTTATGCTGGGAGATTATTCTCCCAGTTTATGCAGTTTAATCCTGGGAGATAAATCTCCTAGTTTATGCAATAAGTGCATATTAAAATTAGCACTATTTATACTGCATGATAAATATGTTAGATTGCGCATAAACTGGGAAAATAATATCCCAAACGTTATAACTAAATCAATTTAACCATAATACTTTAATTTGATAATAATATAACTTTACAAGTTAATAATCTAACTATTTATGAGGCATTACTAAATTTTTTTCTGGCTAGCACTATTCATTGATTTTTAATTGAAATTCAAAGTGCAAATGGGAAACTAATCTCCTAGTTTAAGCTTCTAGGGTTAATTGTGATAATATTAAAACTATTATTGAGTTTATGAATTAATACAGAAAATTTATTTATATAAGTGCATGGACAACTAATGATTTTTGTACTAAATTTTAATTAACCTTTCAACTTTTAATGCTTTATGAATTAAATTCAAATACTGTATTAAATTCGAATACATTACATAATAATCGGATGACATTTCAATTGAATCACATCTACTTAATTATTATATTTTAAAGTTTATGAAATTATTCTTAAACGCAAACCTTTGGTCAGGCATTGGTTTAGTAACAATAAATTAGATGTTCACTGTACCACGGATTAATAACTTTTAAGATTTTTGCTGATTTAGAATGTGTAACAATTTGTATTCATAATAGTTAATATGGATTTGGTATTAATTTTATTAAATGCCCAATTTGTGTTAGTATTAAATATATGGACCATATCTTTATAAATACCATTAAGATTAATTGAATTAAGTTTGATATAAAATGGTACGGAAGTGAACGAATGTCATAACTGTATTAATTGCATACAAATTATTGAAATGATTGAAAATCTATTGTTTCATTAATTCGTATTATTTAGAATGATGATGAATAAAAAAAAATAATTATAAATTAATTCTTTAAATCAAATTCTAATATAAGTTTTTTAATACACTATTTACAATTATAGCAACAATAAATTTGATTCTTTGATTCATTTAAAATATCAATAAATAATATACTAAAATGTAATGAAAAGGAAAAAATAAAATATTTTACATATAAATAAGGTGATGGAAGGTAGTGAAATCTATAGAGTGGGATAGTGGTAACGTGGTTTGCGGACTGTACTCGTATAAATAAACTTGAATGTGTATCTATATAATATTACTACAATTTCATTGCAATTAATAGCTAAACAATAGATGTATTTAATTTTACTTATGATCAAAGCATCGTATTTAACTATAGCAACTATTTTAGAGATTAATAGCATTAGCCTAAGAGTTGGTATGTCCACCGATCATGCCATTAGGGTCATTATAGCAAATTTATATTTTTAATATAAATAACTATTTGAGGGGTCACTAACTATTTTAATGATTAACAACTATTAACAAACTATTTGACCAATATTTGTAGAAATGGTCTAATTTTTACTAAAATTTGATAAAATATTTTTCGAAATTTTTAAATAATTGTAAAAAATTAAAATAAAAGGTATATAAATTAACTATAAATAATATAAAATAAAAAATAAAATAGTTTGATTGACCAATATTCTTGTCATCTTTGGCATATTGTCATCTCTAAAGCCGAGCCTTATATAAAATTTACCACATATTTGATAAACATATTAAGATAGTTTTACGTAATTAAAACTAAATTTTAGTCTATAAACAAACTTTTATAAGTGATACAGTTTTTAATGCATAATACAACACACTTAGATCATTACACGACGATTAATGAAAATTTTTATTATAAATTTTAAGATTTTATCAAAAATAAACAACTATTTAAGCAAATATTTAACCCCGTGTTACTAACTATTATAGTGACTATGGTTATACTAAATGAAAATGTAAATACAGTATTAATTTATTTTAATCGGAATATATTTTCGCACATGGGATATAATCCCACTAAACAATAATTAACGAGTGATTTATTACTTTGTTAAAAATTAATATTTTTGAAAATTTATATTAATATATCGCGGCTTTCAAGCAATTTTTAAATGACATAAACAATAACATACAAAATTTTCTAAAAACAATTATAAGTCGAATAAGTCGAATTATGTTTGAGATAAAACATTTTAGATTTCATAATCATTTTTAGCGTAAAATTTCACATAGATTTGGTATAGAATATATATAATTTACAGCATATTCAAAATTTTCGATAAAAAGGTCAAAGTCGAAAAATATTCGATATAAAATTTTTAGATTTCATATTCGTAATCAGCGTTAAAATTCACATGAAATTTATAAATTAAATATTCATAAAATCAACTTTGATTTTTGTTTTATAAAAGTAGAAGCCGACCGATTATTTGACTATAATAAAAAACTATTTTACGATGCTTTGCTTATCATTTATAATCTTTCGAATTAAAATAACAAAAATAATATATTTTATGCAATACAAAGCTTGAGTTTTACGGTATTTGGTTTTTATATAAAGTATAACTGTTTTTGCATAAATCTTTTTTAAACCACAATTCAACATTGAATAATGTGGTTTGTAGGATCGATAGGCTACCCCTACTATGGATTCTGATCTTATGGATAATGATAAATTTATGGGATTAGTGCTTTATTCTAGATTTCCATGTGATAACCAAATAAATATTAGCAATCATATTAAAAAAATTTCAAATTACAAACAATAAGATATTTATTAAACAATGCTATAAAAATTAAATTTTCAATATAAAATTATTAAACACTATGTAATAACTATCTATTCTTTAAGCACTACCCGAATTGTGGTTAATGTAAAGCATCGCTGTGTGAACCTTGTTTTATTATATTATTTTGTTTTTAATTGCAATCAATTGCCTGTCATTACATATATAAGGCAGTGAATTATGTTAGAACTAATTTTACTTATGAGTAATCATAGGTTAATATCAATCAAACTTTATTCAAACATTATCAGTATAGTCAGCATTTATTCTTCAAACTAAATAATTATACTAATCTGCATTCACTTAATAAAAAAGATCTATATTAATTCTTATTGTTAAAGTCAGAATCTTGCTAAAAAGTGCAAACAATGAGTAAAACAAAGTCTGGAAACGATGTAGTAATCAGTGGTATCGCCGGTCGGTTCCCGCTGTCTAACAACACCGACGAATTGGCCAGAAATCTGTACGACGGCCGAGATATGATCACCGGGGATGACAGTCGATGGCCAAAGGGTATGAATGCATAATCATATAACAGCCATTTGTTTAAAATATGAATACTACATTTATAGTAATAATTATGCCTATAATATAAATTTATTTAATAAAACAATGTGATATATAAAATTTATGCACCAGGCACGTATGATTTGAATCCACGATATGGAAAAATCCATGACTTCAATCTGTTTGACTCGACTTTCTTTGGACTCCCGGAGCAGATGTCGGAAGGGGTTGACCCACAGGCCCGGATGCTTCTCGAGGTTACCTACGAGGCCATTGTCGATGCCGGTCAGTGCACATTCAATCATTATGATTACTTTTGGGCAATTAAATTATTCACTTTAGGTGTTATGCAAAATATTGATTATGACTATTTTTAACACCAATTCATATATGAAGAATGTGGTTTATACTATAAACTTTATAGGATCGTTCGGCTCCCTCCAGCCTCCCACCCAATGGACTTTAACATGGGATTACATGTTAATCCTATGACATAGACTTAACATGGGTAATGCTAATCCTATGGAGCTTTTCCAATAGACTTAACATGGGCTAATGTTATCCTATAGGTAATGTTAAACCTATGGGAGATTATGTCCTATGGGAAAGCGAAATATGAAGTGAAAAAGTAGTTTTTATCAATGTTATACCTAAGGGATTAATATTAAGTCTACATGAGATTGCTTTAACATGGTTTCTATACAGCTTAAATCTATGACATAGAATTATCATGGGTAAGCTAAGTCTATGGGCTAATGATAATCCTATGGACTAATGTTTAGTCTATGGACAATGCTAGTTCTATGGACAGTGTTAATCCTATGCATTACCCGAATTGTGGTTAACGTATTGCATTGCTGTGTGTGAGTAATACCCCAATTGTGGTTAACGTATAGCATCGCTGTGTGTGAGTAATACCCCAATTGTGGTTAACGTATTGCATCGCTGTGTAATTCTTGTTTAGGTAGAAATTAGTCTTTTTGTCGAAGTATCATTATAAGTTATAATTTATAATTTTTTCAACAAACATTTTAATAAAATAATACATACAGTGTGTACATTGATGGATTCCGCAAAAGTAAATTCAAATTTCTCGCAAAGTATTCGGTCTAGAAATTCGACTGATACATCGGGGAGCACTTTTTTACTCGTGCCCGTCACCGTCGATAAATTTTACATGTATGTTGAGTTAATGCAGAATTCATCGCTGAGTTTGAATCTAAAATTCAAAATCTCAAATATATTTTGAGTTATTCGGCATAGAAATTTTTATATCAAAAATTTTAAAATGGCTGAATTTATTAATATGAAATATGCATATGATGTAGAATTTAACGCTTAGTTTGAATCTGAAATTTAAAATCATCTATCTCAAATATATTTAAAGTTATTCAAATGTTAACATTTTGATGTCGAATAGTTCAAAAACGATAGATTAAATTTTGAAACCGATCTGATTATAATAACCAGCGTTAAATTCTACATCAAATGCATATATCATATTAATAAATTCAGCCATTTTAAAATTTTCTATATAAAAATTTTTATGCCGAATAACTCGAAATATATTCGAGATAGGACATTTTGAATTTTAGATTTGAACTCAGCGATGAAATCTACATTGAATCAATATAGAATACACATGTAAAATTTGTCAACGTTGACGGAACGTCGCGGATGTTGACGACGGGGACGGGTAAAAAAGTGCTCCCCTGATACATCAAATTAATTAATCAACTCCGGTAGTTCATGTCATGATATGGTTAATATTGTGGTCTCTATATTAATGAATTAATTTTAAAACAACAAAAATGTTGTCATTTTTCCATATATTCATACAATCCATAATGTTAAATTAAAACATATTTTTGAGCAAAATCCTGAAATATGGCTCAAGTTAATTTTACCCTTCTTTTAGAATCTGTAATCAAAATGTTCATGCTATAGTAGTATTTGTTTTACTAATGATTTCTCTATATCTCAGATTTACTATAAAGAATATAAATAATTTTGGTGCCAAATAGTTCATTCTCTTCTTCTGTAATAAATTACGTAAAAGATATAAAATTTATACTGTTAAACCTTGGATCATAGACCTGGTCGGGACCGGGGAAATGACTATAAGATAGAAGGATTCTAAGATAACAAAATCTAATATAGATAGGAGGGAAAAATGGTCTGAAATTCTAAGATTAAAGGTAGAGAATACAAATAAATGACGTTATTTTTGGCAATTTTTGTAATTCTAAGATAAGAGGCACATACGGACCTATTGGGTCCCAGACAATGACTCTAAAGTCTAAGATAGAACGTCTAAGATATGAGGGAATTTAACATTAGGCTTCTATGGAGGGAATCGGGACTTGGAGTTTGACTCTAAGATAGGCAAAAATCTAAGATCGAAGGATCTAAGTTACGAAGTTTAACAGTATTATAATAAATATTATTAGGGCGGTCAATTAATTCCAATCGTGCGGTTTTCTTACAATATCTTAAACTAGAAAAGATATTTTAATTCTGTAAAAAGCATTCAATTGCCCCATATACGCGTGACCTGTTGCATAACCGGTCAATATATTTTGGTCACGTTGTATACAAAATATAGGACGATTCCGAATCATCATGTTATGAGTCTAACGGTTAGAAATATAGAGCGTGAGGGTTATGTAGAGAACATTTCAAAGCTTTGAATTGAAAAATCGAGTTTTATCCATTAAAACATTAAAAAATTCAATATTTCAATTTACGATATTTTGTGTTTAGAATGAGATTTAAAAAAGTTTCTACTAACAGAATTAGCACTTAATGTAGTATTTAATGATATAATTAATTGTATTCAATTATTTAAAAATTTTTTAGTCCAATAGGTTAACATACAAAAAGTCTGCTAACCTGTAATTTAAAAACCAGCAATCCGTTAACAACCATGTAAAGTCTATATAATACTTTGACATGTGCTTTACATATTCTTCACCCCACCCATTTCTATAGTAAACACGATAGTCACAAACATGGGTCACGCAAGTGCTCTATTTTACGAAAAAATAGTTACATGATTAAAAATTCTAACGCTTAATAAATTTTGCGACGTTGTTCTACTTTATATATGTGTGAAGTTTTAATATTATCACCTTAATGGTTCTAGAGTAATCGCAAATCTAACTAGGTCTAATTTTATTGAAGATCGCTATATAATAGATTACAATAAGATAAATGTTGCTTAACTCTGATTCTAATTTTCTGCCAGGATTAATTCATGATTACATTTTTATAAACTACAAACAACTATTTAATAATTACACGATAATATTACAATGTTGGACACTTTTTACAAAATTGTTATTTTTCCAATATTTTTGCCCCGCCTCCCTAGAAATCAATCCTTCCAATCTCTATGTACTATTGTAATAATTCATATAGGTATAGGTCCGCAGTCACTACGTGGTAGTAAGACTGGTGTATACGTTGGTGTCTCCATATACCCCATGGCTGATGGCTATCCCCACGAAATTCAGCCAGATTTGAGGCAAAATTTGCAACTAGATCTGTTTCAGCATCTCTCCAATTTGAAATCTCTTTACGCCAGTCGTATATCATTTGTGTTTGATTTCAAGGGACCGTCACTGATGGTGGACACCGCTTGTTCGGCCAGTCTATCGGCCACTACACTGGCTATGAACGACATGAGACTCGGTATGCGAGGCATCATTAAAACAATGGATTTAATGTTTAACGCGTGCTAAACATTAGGAAACATCGATACGGCGATCGTTTGCGGCACTCATATGCTGTTCGAGCCATTCATATTGCAGTATTCCCAGGAGTCGGGTCTGTGTTCGCCCAGTGGTGTGTCCGCAGTCCTCGACCAGAACGCCGACGGCTTCATCAAAGGCGAGGCCGTGTGCTGTGCTTTCCTTCAGCGCCGGCGCGACGCCCGACGTGTGTACGCCTGTGTGGTCAACGCCAAGATGAACATCGATGGCAATAAAACGACCGGAATATTCTTCCCATCGGCCGACGCACAGGAAGAGCTCATGATTGACACTTACAACGAGGTCAATATCAATCCGCTTGACCTCACCTATTTCGAAGCTCACTGCACTGGCACCAAAGTACAGTTTAGAAATTTAAATTTCGTTTTATTATTATTATATTGTTTTTTAAAACTTTAATGCAATCAATTGTTATAAATAGGTGGGCGATCCGCAAGAAATAAAGGCCATATATAATGCTTACGTTAAAGCTCCGGGACGTACACAACCCCTGCCGTTGGGTGCGTTGAAGAGTAACATGGGCCACTCGGAGGCCGGTTCAGGGGTGGCCGCAGTGATTAAAGTGTGTATTGTATACGAAAATGAGTGCATTCCTCCCAACCTTAATATGAAACAATTGAAGGATGAATGCCTTCCTTATTGCCCGCCTATAAAGCCTATTGTGGAATTGATGCCTTATAAACCAGGTTTGTTTTTGAGTACTATGTAATACTAAATTAAGATTATCGGCAAATTAAATATAAAGTTTACAAATGTTCACGTGATCAGATAATATCAATTTTCATAAATTATTCTGTATGCATGTTATGCTAGGGTTGGCCGCAGTGAGCAATTTTGGTATAGGGGGTGCGAACGCACACGTATTGCTCGAACCGAACCATAAGTTGGGAACCAGTGATGGACTCAGAATTGCGGAAACGATTCCCAGAATTGTTAACATTTGCGGCCGAACTGAAGATTCGGTCAAATATGTAATGGATTTCATACAAAACAATCCAAAGAGAGTGACGAATGACTTTTTGGCACTTTTGGCACAGACTATGAAATACACGCCTAATGTTAACTCATCGGGAATGCCGTTCAGAGGTAGGAATTAATTGAATTAATTTAAATAGTTATTATTTAATTGATTAATTGTGAATAGGATCACTTATAATAAAAAAGGTATCGGAAAGTAGTAATAATATAAATTACGAATATAAGGGGCAAATAAACTTTCAGAAAGGAAAAATAGTTAGACCACTATGGGTACTGTTCCCGGGTTTGGGCGGTCAGTGGCCGGCAATGGCTGCAGCTTTAATGCCAATCAAGATATTCGCCGATAAAGTGGAAGAATGCCATCAAATACTACACGAATTCGGTGTCGATTTGAAACACATGTTGTTATCAGAAGACAAGACATCGATGTCTACAATGACTGCAAAGTTCTGTTCGACGACTGCTATGTAATGAAAGGCAAAAGTGGTCGACCCCTATGGCTACTGTTCCCGGGTTTGGGCGGACAATGGCCGGCAATGGCTGCAGCTTTGATGCCAATCAAGATATTCGCCGATAAAGTGGAAGAATGCCATCAAATACTACACGAATTCGGTGTCGATTTGAAACACATGTTGTTATCAGAAGACAAGACATCGATGTCTACAATGACTGCAAAGTTCTGTTCGACGACTGCTATAGAGATAGCATTGTTNGCCGATAAAGTGGAAGAATGCCATCAAATACTACACGAATTCGGTGTCGATTTGAAACACATGTTGTTATCAGAAGACAAGACATCGATGTCTACAATGACTGCAAAGTTCTGTTCGACGACTGCTATAGAGATAGCATTGTTTGAAGTGATGAAAGCGCTGGACATCACACCCGACGGTATAATTGGCCACTCGTTTGGAGAGATAGCCTGTGCTTACGCTGACGGGTGTCTCATACTGCTATAGAGATAGCATTGTTTGAAGTGATGAAAGCGCTGGACATTACACCCGACGGTATAATTGGCCACTCGTTTGGAGAGATAGCCTGTGCTTACGCTGACGGGTGTTTCAGCACAAGGGATGCAATGGTCGTCACGTACTTCAGGGGAGCCGTCACTGAAAGTGATAAGAAAATACCAAAAGGACTGATGGCTGTCATCGGTCTCTCAAAAGCTGAGATTAAGAAATTGTGTCCAAAGAATGTATTCATTGCCTGCAATAATGCAAAGGATAGTGTCGTTGTTTCCGGTAATTGTTATATTTGTATAATTATTTTATATTATTTATAAAAAATTTTCAAAATTTTAATTATACTGATATTTCAATTTAAGGTCCGATAAAAGAGATGAAAGAATTGATTAAAACATTGGAAGAAAAGGCAGTATTTGTGCGACAGTTAGAGAGCAGTGAAATCCCATATCATTCACAATATCTGATCACATCTGCAAAGCCTATGACTGAAGCCATTAAGAAATATATACCAAACCCAAGACTCCGGTCCCGGAAATGGGTGTCCACTTCACTCATGTCTACCGATCCCAGCGATGAGGCCTTGAAATACGCTTCGGCCGAGTATTTCGTATACAATCTCTTAAATCCGGTCCAGTTTTACGACAAAATCAAAGAACTTCCCACGAATTCCATTGTCTTAGAATTAGGTCCGCATTCAGTGTTCGGCAAAATAGTGACCGAAACTCTGGAGAACTCGTCGTATATATCGCTTATCAAAAAGGACTCAAACGATATAAATCTTGATTTGTTTTTCTCCGGTTTATCACAACTCTATGAATTGGGTGTCAATCCATCCATCGATAATCTGTACTCACGGGTGGAGTGGCCGGTGGCCAGGAATACACAGTCCATCTCTTCGCTTATCCAATGGGATCACAGAGTGTCAGCCCCTCGGAAGATATATCCAGAGCTCTGGTACCCGACCAACGCTTCCGACATGAATGTTACCATCAATTGTGTGGCAAAAGAGGATTCGTTTTATTTGGATCATTGCGTTGACGGCAACCCTATATTCCCGGCCACCGGCTATCTGTTGCTGGCGTGGCGTAAACTGGCCGCCAGTGTAGGTAAAATCTGGCACAGAGTGCCCGTTGTGTTTGAGAACGTACAGTTAAAACGAGCTGTATTTCTGACTGATGACAAAGACACCAAACTTGTCGTTAAATACTACACATTAACTCGTAAGTTTAATTTTGTTAAGCCATGTATTATAAGTTATAACTAAATGGTAATTAATATTAAATTATGAATAAATTCCTATTGTAATAAAAATGTATAAATTACTGTTTAACATTATAACAAATTAACCCAGATGAATTCTGTATCACCGAAAACGACAACGTGTGCGCTGTGGGCAAAATGCATTCACCGGGCGATCATATACTAATGGCTCAAAACAAACTGAACGACCACGAGCAAAAAATGTCGGCCACTGAATACGCGTTGGACAGAGAAGACATATACCGCGAATTACGTGTATTGGGCTTAGATTACGGCAAACACTTTCAACGGCTACGACGTGTGGCCACCGCTGACTACCGCGAGTTTTACGGTGTGTGCGAATGGGACGGCAATTTGGTGACATACCTGGACGCGCTGCTCCAGTCGATGGTGGCCGCCACGCCGTTCCGCAAACTAATGGTGCCGGTGATGATACGTAAGCTGCGCATCGATCCCACCGTCATGTTTGAAACGGTGCGCCGGAATAAGATCGAGGGCCAGATCGCGGAGACCGAGCGCACCGTAAGGGTCCATATGGAGAGGTATGACCCGGAGTTCGGCGAAATGGGCACCACATCGCCGGCCGACGGCTTCCAACACACCGCTGATACGGGCGCTGAGGGAGTGGAGGGGACGGTGAGTACGAGCGCCCAAAACGATGAAGATATTCGTGTCGATCGAAAGCTCATTGAAGCGAACGATGAGTACTCAAAGATGTCGCAAACGGTGCGACTGGAGATGGAGCGTTTCAAGCAGCGATTCTGTGTCTACCCTGCTCATATGCCGCTGTATTTCAACGCCGAGACCAAGCACTTGGTCGCGCCGGGCGTCGAGTTGGAGGATTTGTTGGCCTTTCCCATACCGAGGCGTACGGATGGCACGGGTTTGGTGTTAGAATCGGCCGAGTTTTGCGTCAACGATGATAATCAAGCTATAGATGACTGTTCGTTGGCATCACTATCAAAGTATCTCGATGTATGTTTAATTAAATTAATAAGTTAATTTAATTTAATTATTAGTTAGACAACAGAAAAATAGTTGAATTAATTTATTAAAATGCAATTTTAAACTTTTAAACAGGTTTGCAAAACATTGGCGGTTAATATAAAGCAAACTGTAATGAAGAAAATGATGTGTGATTTTATTAATCCAAACATAAGCGATGATATTATCAATGAATATAGATATGAAAACAATGAAAATCATGTCATGTTTCGTATATTTGATAAAATATCGTCAGAAATGATTGACGACAACAATAATATGAAGAGTACTCGAGATATGACTAAAGTATTGAATGAAATCCAAGAGAAACCGGAATACAATTTGAGTAAAGATACGGTAAATCAGATCCAGAAGAATGAACGACTCATCCGATCGCTCGTTGATATTGTTAGCGAAAATTTTATAACAATAAACGAGTTAAAAGTGACCGAAATTAATCTGAGTAGTAATCTATTTGTCAAAGAAGTGGATCAGTTTATCACACAATTTCGTGTAAGAACTTTAGGTACAGACTATAAACTTGTGGTGAAATCAAAACAGGATGTAATGGATGTCTATAAGAGTAAAGCTATTGAATGGGATCCTAAGGATGACATACCGTTAAAACCCTCGCATTTGGTTATAATGAAAGACACACAAGACTTATGGCAAAGAGATTTGGAAACATTAATACAACACTTGTATGACTCCATACAAACCAATGGATTTCTATTATCGGTCTTGAGATATAAGTTTACGGATCCGGAGATTGCGTTCATGTCTATCACCGGCGCCACAGAAATACAAACTGAAGATCTTGATTGTCGTTTGAAGAGATTTATGTCGTTTGCTTTAAAAGTTGGCTTTTGTTTAATTGCCGTTAAATCTGATACAATTGGGACAACAGTTTTGCTATTTAGAAAAATCACAGAAAAGCCTAAAATACCAGATCAACAAAATATCATTTATATCAACAATGATTATAAGCAATGGTTTCAAGTATTAAAGGAAAAATTGATTTCATCCAAAGAAGCCGAACATAATGTCGATAACGTATGGCTTGTGGCGAATGACTCGTGTATTAATGGAATCATAGGTTTAATGAATTGTTTGCGATTAGAACCGGGCGGAGAGAACTGCCGCTATATCTTCCATATGGACACCAATACTGACACTAACATCGACTTCAATACTAAACCCTATTCTGATATATTGGCCAACGATTTGGTCGCCAATGTTATCAAAGGGGGAAAACTGGGAACTTATAGACACATAAAACTTCCCACGGATTACGACAAATGTCTATCAAATGACTATCATTTGAATTGTGGGCAAATAAAAGATTTATCTGGTCTTCAATGGTATGATTCTCGCTGTATACCAGAAATGACGGAACAATTTAACATTAATAACCTATCAATCGGTAAAACTCGTGTTGAGATATATTGCGCTGGCATTACATTTCACGACGTTATGCTCGCGACCGGTAATTATGATATTTTTGAAATAAATTATAGCAATTATTATATTTGGAAATTATTGTAATCACAGGCCGTATACCCGCCGGACCGGAGCAGCTATTTATTGACTGCTCGTTAGGCTGTGAATACGTGGGCCGTCGCGTGGATACCGGCGAACGGGTGATGGGTATAGATATGGGCCGTACTTTTGCCACATCGCTGAACGCCAGTATTCATAGCATGACTACAATCCCAGAGCACTGGTCGATGGCAGACGCGGCCACTATATTGAGCACATATAGCACTCTGTATTACGCGCTCTTCAAACGAGCTAATCTTCAAAAAGGTATTTGTTATCAATAATAAATTATGTTTAATATTTACACCATTATTTTCACTGACCAAATGACCAAGGTGAAAGCATACTAATTCACTCGGGAGCTGGAGGTGTGGGTCAGGCGGCGCTCAATATATGCAAACACTATGAATGCGATATCTATGCGACGGTTGGGACGGAAGAGAAGAAACAGTTTTTGATGACTGAATACAATATACCGGAGAATAAGATATTCAACTCAAGAGATATACTCTTCAAAAATCAGATCAAAGAGGCGACAAAAGGACGCGGCGTTGATATTGTATTAAACTCTTTGTCTGGCGATAAACTGGACGCCAGCTATGAATGTGTGGCCAATAACGGGCGTATCGTTGAGATAGGAAAGTATGACATGATTAGTAATAAACAACTTGGTATGTTTGACTTTATACGGAACATACAATTAATTGGAGTGTCGTTTGAATTCGTGGTTATGGATGACATCCACTTCTTTACCGAGTTTTACGATTGGGTTCACAAGAACTCAAAGAATGGATGCGTTAGACCATTGAATTATACTGTGTTTAAGGCCAAGGATGCGGACAAAGCGTTCCGTTTTATGACAACCGGTAAACACATCGGAAAAGTAGTCATCAAAATGAGAGACGAAGAGACAGAGAGGCAGACATTTAAAAGCATTAAACCGGCGCTTAATATGACGGTAACGGTTAAGACATACTTCGATCCAAACAAAGTCTATATAATAACCGGAGGTTTGGGTGGTTTTGGTCTGGAATTGATTCCTTGGATGCAATATTCAGGCGCCCGAAAGTTTGTGGTCACCTCCAGGTCTGGGCTAACAACTGATCACCAAAAATATGTTTACAACAGGTTTTATAAAGTATATCAAAGTTTCAAATACTTTGCCTCCGAATGGTTTGTCTCGACTGCCAATGGATTTACAATTGAGGGCACGCGAGAGCTCTTAGAGGAAAGCAGAAAGTTGGGACCCATTGGAGGGTTATTTCATTTGGCCGTTAATTTAAACGACTCTTTATTAGAAAACATCAGTATTGAACAGTTTTGCTCATCTATTGATACAAAACACAAGATCTTTGCAAATCTGGATCAACTGACCCGACAATTGGACTATAAGTTAGATTACTTCGTTGTCTTCTCATCCCTGGCTTGTGGTAAAGGAAACGCCGGGCAATCAAACTATGCGTTCGGAAACTCCATGTGTGAGCGTATATGTGAAGAGAGACGTAGGGATGGTCTGCACGGACTCGCCATACAATACGGACCTATCGGTGATGTCGGAGTGTTTGCTGACTCTTCGGATCAAGTCTTAGCAATGACTACATTAAGAAAACAACGAATCAACTCTTGTTGTGATGTTTTGGACAAATTGTTGGCAATTAAACAACCGATTGTCACCTCATATGTAGGCATTCAACAGAAATACAAATTATTGTATAATTGTTATAAATTTTATTTTTGATAAATAGATAAAAGTGTATCAAATGAAGGAAACGGGAAGCAAACAGAAGCGAATGGTCGCTGAGTTGTGGCGAGCGCTGGGCATCGATCCCGAGACCACACCCAACCACTTAACCCTCGGTGAGATAGGGCTCGAGTCTATGTTCGCCGTTGAGTTGCAGCAGGAGTTGGAGAGGGAGTGGAATATGAAGCTCAGCATAAATCAGGTGAAAAACATCACTATAGGTATGTTGAAGGACTACGAGTCGGGCAATGTGGTCAAGATCAAACAGTATATGGACGACATCAAACGTGCCAAGGCCAATCTGATCAAGCAGAAATTTATTATACCATGTGGGGCGTACGTACGGCTGAACAATGTGGCCCCGGGTTTTGGTGGCAAACCTGTATATTTTATGCCCACATTTCGGCTCAATTTCTCTATGTTTGAAGAGTTGGCGGCCAAACTAAACCGGCCGGCGATTGGACTGAACTGGACCCGCGAGGTGAGCAAATTCACCACGTTCAAACAGGTGAGCGAATACTACGTGAAGTTGTTGCAAACACTGGAGCCCACGGGCCGGTACGATGTGGTCGGGTATCTGGACTCAGCGCTCATTTGCTCCAAACTGTTGCTGAAAGGAGCGGCCGATCGGGCGGTGATTGTGGACGTCATCAGTGATCAACGGTTCCGCGACCAACAGCTCACCGAAGACCAGATGCTGGAGATTATGCTCGGCATTATCGCCAACGATATACCCGACGTGTTTAGGGCTAAGATTACACGAGAGCTCAAACACATGGCCGATGTGAGAGCCAAAGTGAAGCACGTGGTCAACGAGTTGGTTGACTTCGCCGGCGGCACTGGTAGTCAACTCGTGGCCACCGATATGGAGGAGATTATGCACATAATGCTGGCCCGTATTGGCATGTTTTCGGCCTATAGACAGCGCAAGAAGGTTAAATTAGCCAGCAAATTGAAAAATGTGCTAGTTAAACGGTGGGCTAAAATGACCGGCAAATTGGTCCTGATCAAACCGTTCAAATCGGACTTGATTGAGGATCTAGATGAGTTGCTGGAGGCATCACGTGATGTCTATTTGCTTCCCGGCTCTAAGGTAGCGTACAATTACATTTATTATATTTATATTATAAATGTACTCAAAAATTATAATTATCCTAAAGCTCTCCTAGCACATGTATAATTTATATGATTAAAATTTAAATTCTATATTTTAATAAAATTAAATTGATTTAAATACTTAGGACACAACCGATACTATACATATTGAATTGGTTGACAGTCCGACCGGTGGCGTTGACTTAATGGCCGCAGAGATTAGCGAGATGATTGGGGCGGCCCTTAAATAAGATTTTAAAAAATATAATTGAATTAAATTTCTTATCCTTAAGAATTATAATCTCATAAATATAGATTTAATCCCAAGACAAATAAAGTAATGTAACGTAACTTTATATAATGTAACTCTGTCATATATATTGTCAATAACTATTTTGAAATTACAACTCACTTTAAATGCTATATAATTTTAAAGTTTGTCGCATTCAAAAATAATATTGATTATCAATATTGAATATTAATTATCATATTCTGATATTAATGATATAATCAAATAAATATAATCTATAAACTAAATTTAAATTACAGAAGACACAGTATATTTGTGATTTAATAATTTTTATTAAGTATTTTTTATAATTTTTATAAAAATATATTTTTTATCTTTATAATTTACAATAAAAAATTATTTTATGCGAAAATATCTAATCAAAATTAATCATTCAAATTGTTGTTATTTGGTTTGTACAGTACTCTACCCTCTCCATCCCATGTTTGAATTAAATAAAAAATAATATTAATCACTTTATTTACGTTTTTAATTTTTCAAAAAAGTAAATGATTATAATAAAAGTATCAATGCGGATTAGATATTTAATTGTTTTAATATACTGTGTAGTAAATTGTTTTATATAAAGTACCATGGTCAGATTGTTAATTATTTTTAATAATATCTTAAAAGCTAGCATTAATAAAGATTAAATAATGCAATCTTATTTCATAAAAGTCCATAGAAAGTGTAAATGTATAATTTTTGTTCACTTTTTTCACTTCAATTTTTAACAAACATCAATTATACACTCATGTGTTTAATAAATTATTAATAACAAAATAAGTTGTCATTTATTTATTCTGAAATCAACTCAGATTAATTTTATAAGATTACGAAATATTGAGAATTGCAATTAAAATACAACTTGTTATTTTAAAAATATTTTAGAAATGAATTTATTCATTAATGATAGCCAATAACATTTACATGTAACGATATATACTATTATAAATTATAATTATTGGTATTTACGTTATTGAGATTAAGACTGTACGTATAGTAAGTCTATTATATTTCTCTCTCTCTCTCCTCTCTCTCTCTCTCTCTCTCTCTCTCTCTCTCTCTCTCTCTTAAAATGAACAGTCAATTTGAAGGCTGTTTTCAGTTGAATGTAAAAGGAAGGTTAATTATATGTTAAAATAAGATAATTGATTTATTAATACTAGTAAGAGTGTTAGTATAAGTTTGTTAAAATGAACATTTTGAACAATTATATGGAAAACATTTAGTACTAAAATCCAAAAATGTAAATTTATTTATGATAGACGTAATAATACTTATTATTCAAATTAGTTAACAGAATTTATGTTTTAAAAACATTTTAAAATTTAATTCATTTTTTATCAGGTACAAATTTCATTTATTAAAATTTTTTATATATATTATTATATTTTGTTTACTAGAAAGTAGCTTGCAAGCTTAATAACGAACCCGTGTCGCAAAATGGCTGTGAATATTCAAGATGCTTCATTTAGTTATAACATAAATCAAGTAATTCTAAATCAATTAACAGTGCAAATACCTAAAGGTATGATATATAATATTTATATACTTTAAAATATTGTATTTTATAGCAAAGTTCTTTAATAATAACATAATGTATTTCAGGTAAAATATTTGCACTGTTAGGCCCAAACGGAACTGGAAAAACAACTTTAATACGTGTAATGTTAGGTGAATTAAAATTATCATCGGGAACAATTAATGTGTTTGGTAAAAAACCTGGTTCAAAGGGTTCGGGTATTCCCGGACCGGGTGTCGGGTATATGCCTCAGGAGTTGGCGTTATTTGATTATTTCACAATCGGAGAAATACTTAAATATTACGGAATGATATATCACATGACACGCGAGGAAATTTACAAAAACATTTGTAATTTAAAAGAATTATTGCATTTACCGGAAAATTCCCGATTAATTAATCAATTAAGTGGTGGACAACAGCGCCGGGTGTCGATCGCCATAACAATGTTACACAAACCCAGACTCGTTATATTGGATGAGCCCACTGTTGGTGTGGACTCTCTGCTCAGGCATAGGATATGGCAATACTTGGAGAATATGTGCAATAAAAATGGTATAATAAGTAAAAATATTATAGATATAATTAAATTTTATGATTAATTTAGGCCAAACAGTGATAATAACAACACATTATATAGAAGAGGCCCGGAGTGCACATAACGTGGCTTTTATGAGATCCGGAGCTGTATTGAGACAATCAAATCCCCAACAATTGATGGATGAATACGAGTGCCCGACACTGGAGGACGTGTTCCTACAGTTGTGTCACTCAAAGGAAAACGCCATTACTTCAAGACATGAATTTAAATCCAAAGACAATACAGAAATTGATTTAAACAATAATTTGTCGACAGAAAGTGAGGCAAAAATACACTACAAAAACAATGCGTTCATTGATTGGCAACGAATTAAAGCAATGCTAATAAAGCAATGGATTGCTATTAAACGGCGGCCGCTATTTATGTGCGCATATTATGCCCTAACCGTTATAACAATGATAACATTGAACATGATCTTAGCCCAGGATATTAAGCACATACCGGTTGGAGTATATAATACGGATCTAATCGGTGATAATCAAACATCATTATCACGTCTTTTCATTGATTCAATCGATCCAAAAGGCATGCGTTTAACTCATTACCCATCGATCGATAGCGCCGTTCAGTCGGTAACAAATGGCGACAATTATTTGGTGTTTGAATTTCGGGACAACTTTTCCGACAGTTTTGAGACACGAGTGACGGATATATTTGATGCCAGCGATGAGTCAGTTGAGGAAAGCCTTATACATCTATATGTAGATCTTTCACGTAAATATTTATTTAATACATACATGTTACTAAACTATATAAATAAATGCCTTACTTAAATTAAATAATTAAACTAAATTATTAATGTTGTTTTAACTCCTTATAGATCCACAGATGGGATTTATGTCTATTAAATATATCCTGGATACATTTTATAAATTTCTCACGAAATTAGGCCATATATTAAATAAATCCAACATCATTGAGCAGATGTCAACTCTACGAGTTATGGAGGTGTTTAACGGCGATTTGAACAGCATGATGGTCACATTTATGTATGTTGGGCCGCAAATGATGTTATTCGTGGAATTTACGATGGGTATGGTTTTATCGGCGTTTATCATGATAAATGACAAATCGTCGGACATAATGAACCGGGTGTTTGTGGCCGGTGTAACTGCATACGAGTATATTGGCGCCCATATACTTATCAACATTATCATGGGCTTAATTCAAGTGTCCGTCGCTATGATCGTTGTGTTTGGAGTATTTACTGTTCAACAATCGGGAAGTTTTTTAGAAATATTCATGTTTTTGTTCTGTGAAAATTTGGTTGGAATTTTCACCGGTTTGTTTCTCGCTGTTATACTGGGCGATCCCCCTTCAGTTATGGTAATTTTTAACTTTAACTATCCTTTAATAAAATTTTATTTTTAATTTTCATCATGGTCTGAATTATACATGTATAGATTTCTGTAATGGCCGTATTGTTTCCCATGTTCTTCGTTTCGGGTATCTTTTGGCCGCTCGAAGCCATTCCCTCTATGTATCGGTTCATAGCATACATGAGTCCAGTGACATATCCCATGCAATCCATCCGTAATATAATGGTACGAGGTTGGACGTATACGCAACCAGATGTTTACCATGGTTATTTGCTAAATATAGCAATTATTGTTATTTTATTTCTTTTAAGTCTAATATTATTTAAACGCAATTCCAATAGAAATCTATCGTTCAATAAATGGAAAAATTAAAATACTGTAATACAACTTTTAAATAAAATCTTAAGGAAATTAAAAATTAATTTAACATTGTAAAATTAATAATGTTTTAACTATAAAATAAAAATTTTCAAACGGAATAAAAAAAATATCTATTAAATATATTGTTGATCAATAATCATGTACAAGATCATTGTCTAATGTGGCATTTAAGGACAAACGATGCTGTTTGCACTATTAAGTGTTGCCAACTCATAGATTTTTTGATGAGATAATTTTTGATCGTGTGGCACATCCACATTCCATGTTTACTATTCCGTTATTTTTCGGGACTTTCTATGGGATTAGGGTCACTTTTCTGCATTATTTGTGTGTTTTATTATTTCAGTGAATGATCTGTATTAACACATTTAAATAATTATAAGAATATAGTAATATAAAATATAAGGTAATCATAGGATTTGCTTAAACTGCATCAATTGAGTTACAACTACTGTTAATCAATTGATTAGCAGAATTAATAATAATAACCAATTAAAGATTTTATGACGATTGCAACTCTTCTCAATTATGTACCTTAGATTATAATTAATAGATTTTAATGAGCATCGAAAGACTAACCTTGATCACATACATAATTAGTAGTTACAATAACTTTTGGTCATATTTTATTATTTATAGACTACATTAAACTATTACGATATGAATTAATTGTTAGTGCTTGTTATTGGCTAACCAGTGATAGATAATTATAATGGTTATAATTTGTTGAATAGTTATAGCCATGAGTGCTTTAAATTTACACATAAGTGTAAATCCTATGGTGATGCGTAATGTATAACTGTAAGTTAAAACACTTTTGGTTATAGGCTATATAACTTATAGCGATGACGGCAGTTAAATAAATTAATTTAAAAATAATAATCATTTATAAATTTTAATTAAAAAACTAATCGCTTTAAATAGTTCCCTATAATAGACTTGTTGAATTAGAGATTATGTTTAATATTTATAATTTTATATACTTTATTGTCATTTAATATTTAATATAATATATTATATAAAATAATGAGTTCTTAATTTTTTCTTATTCAATTATATTCTTATGGTGCGGTTCTGATTGAGTTGCGCGCCAATACTTGCGGTCACTTTCGGACAAAAGTTACCACAAGAAGAATAAAAGTTGTGCCGACTCTTTACGGTGCGCTGTCTGATCGATGGCGTCGATAGAGAGGCAGTGCTGTCGTGGAGAGGGATTGAAGAGGAGTTGCTCTCTGGCCAACTGGATTAGGTCAGGGAGTGATCACACAAATCGTGACCAGAGGTGTGGAGGAGAGCCGAGCGGTGATGAGTGATCTACTTTCCTAGACTGGGAGAGTGATTGTTAACAACATAGGATATAAAATCCATAACCACACTGTCATCTGCCCCGATGTACCCTTTACAGATTATTGTCGATTCCTACCACTTCTATTGTCTGTGTGAGAAATGTTATTAAAAGTTGTAGACCCCCTCAAATTCATTGTGTCTAAGTTTTTTGCCTAAAAATCAAATTAATATTTGAAATAGAAAATTTAAAAATTTATGCAAGAATAAGGGATTGTTGATTATTGGTATGGAGAGTAGAGAATTTATTAAAGTTAATTATCTTAAGAATAAAACAATTTTGAAAATCAAATCAAAAACGTCATAATTAATTGGTTCTCCTAATATTTAATCAAGATATAATAATCATATAATTGAAAATTAATTGGTTAATAATAAACTTTTCATATACTTTTCATATACTTTTCATCTTTACATACTAATAGATTTAATAACTTTTAAAATAATTTATAAAATACAATTTCATTTATTATAAACTGCATTTATATCTTTAAGTATTTATTTTAAACATACAAGGTTTTATAATTGTGATTTAAATTGCCAAACATATGTTAAGTATATTTATTTTCTAAATTAAATTACTATACTTTTTAATTAACAATATAAAACTTAATTATCAAAAATAATATAGATAATTAATTATCATTCATTTTAACTAGATAAACTATAAATTTGTGGGACCACCTCCGGGCCCACCAGCACCGGCTAATCATAGGGAAACACCGGTCCCTAACCGACCCAATACGCCCGTTAATCCCTTCCGTAGGGATATCGGCGGCGGATCAGCGCCCGTACTGACACATCTGGTGGCCAATGGGGGCTATCAGAGACGGGAGGGCTCGCCCCGAGTGTCACTCTCGCCGTTTCAGCCCTCCCTGTCCTCATCGCCGGGTCGGAGCTTACCGTCCGGTCGCGAGTCTACTTGCAGTGAGTTTTATATTTTGATTTTTATTTAATTTTTAAATAGTTTTAATCAAATTGTTATTTATTTTTATAATAGTTTTAAGTTCTTAATAAATAATGTAATTCATATAAATTCAAAATAAATATAATTGTTTGTAAATTAGGTTTGTTAGCAACTGTAAATTTGTATATATTATTTCGTTTATATGAATTTATTATATTTGATAATGATTACTGGCCACTGGCCAGGGGGGTTATTTATTTTAAAACAATTATTATTTTTGTTTTATTTAGTAAATGAAATTAATATTATTATATTTAATTTTCAAATTGTTGTAATCTAATTGTCATTAATTTTTAAAATAGTTTTAAGTTGCTTAATAAATGTTATAATAGTTTACAATGCATATGGATTCTAAAATTTAGATTATAAGTATAATTGTTTATGATACAATAGGTTTATTATGCACTGTAAAATAGCATATATTGTTTAGTTTATATACACAGCCGTCACCCAATTTGTCCAATTTTGGTTATATTTTGATTTACATGAATTTAAAATTAAAATAAATAATCTGGTAAATCTATATGATATATGTTTTTATGTACTCATATCTATTGTATCAAATCCCAATGTGATTGGTCTCCTAACTACCCGTCGGAAAGCTCTGGCCAAACATATTTAAACTATAAAAATGATAGAGTTACCATTTTCAAATTTTAATTGCTCAGGCCCCTGAAATACGAATTGATTGAATTTCATTGGCATTTGTTTGGCGTGTGTTATAGATTAAGATCATATACTAATCTTACTAAAATCCTGATAAGTTTAAACTCTAATCTAATTCTGTCAAAAATTAGCCATTTTTCAAAATTCAGAATTTTAAATTTTTTAAATGTGAAATTTTTTAAATAAAAAATGCATTCATATTAAAACCAATTACGGTGGCAATACATTGTCAAATAAACTACATGTGACCGTGTTGCTTTCCTTCTCGGTGTACAACATCACTCCATTGTGATTAATTTTGTTACCCAACCACATATTAGAAAAATGCTTTAATTTTAATTAAAATGTTATATAATTGAAATTAATCTGGATTAAAATTAACATATAAGTAGTGACTATTAGCTATAAAATTTTTGTTAAAATTGTCCTAGTATTTTCAGAATAAACCATGGTCATTCTCGAAAAGTATCAATAACATGGATATTTCATTGGACATATTAAGTGACGGCTCTGTATTAATTTATTGTATTTGGTAACCATTAATGGTCGATAAGAAATTCGATTGTATTTTTAAAAATTATTTTTTTTTTAATTTAATTTTTAATTAATGTTAAATTAAGTTTTAATTACTAGTTTTCTTAATACAATGCAACCTCTCTCGGGACAACTTCTCTAGAATGAACACCTCCTTTTAAGGAACGGTTTTGAAAGATATTCTCAATTTTCTATACCTATAACTGAACTATTTTCGGAGAAACCCTCTCTATAAAAAACAATTTGGCTATACATCTGCCCATTTCCTATGGAGAGGTTGCACTGTATTAAATTAAGCTTAAAAGCCCTTTATTATAATTATAATTAATTATTACGTTACTATGGTAATGATGGGAAGCAGACACTTGACCCCCGCAAACGGGAGTCGGTCGTAGCCACCAATGAACGTATAATTACCGGTAGGGGCGCCGGTGGCGAATACTTGGGCGGACTCGATCGGGTCAGGGCTGCCATTGAGCAGATATCGCTCCGAACACATGGTAATATTGTTTACCAACATTTTGTATTAAAGTGGTTATCTGGTAATAGATGAATCAATTGTAACGATTCTTGAATCATGCTTTTAAGCGATGTAAATTAATTTTTGCATGATTACAAGCTGTACATTTTTATGAATTGTTGATTTTTATAATAAACTTTGCTATTAGATTAAAATTGATGGGTTTGCAAATGCTCCCCTATTGTTTATATATAATTTAATTTTATAATAATAAAATGTCGTTTAAATAGATTATATGTTTTATAAAATTTATAACAAGTAATTACGTTAAGATTATTATATTATGTTGCACATTTAATAATAAATAACATGAAGTTAAATAAAGTTAAATAAGTAACTAATTTAAGTTAATTAGATTATGCGAAAACTTTTTAATTTATTTAAAAATATATTGGTGATAAACTAAATTGTCAAATAAATGACTTGTAATTAATTAAACTTTTAAATGTTTTTAACCACAATTCAGTATGAATATTGTGGTTTATAGGATCGTTCGGCCCCCCCTCCCCCCACCCTATGGGATTTAACATGGGATCCCATGCTAATCCTATGGCTATACTTTAACATGGGTAATGCTAATCCTATGGAGATTTGTCCATAGACTTAACATGGGCTAATGCTATCCTATGGGTAATGTTAATCCTATGGGAAATTTTGTCTATGGGAAAGCGAAATATGAAGGGAAAGGGTAGTTTTTCTTCATGTTAATCCTATGGGACTAATGTTAAGTCTATGGGAGAATGCTTTAACATGGGTTTCTATGGGATTACAGCTTAAGTCTATGACATAGGGATAACATGGGCAATGCTAAGTCTATAGACAATGTTAAGTCTATGGGCGATGCTTAGTCTATGACATAGGGATAACATGGGTAATGCTTAGTCTATGGCATAGGGATAACATGGATAATG